TCTTGCACGGTGGCAGCCCCGGCGCCGGCCCCGTGCCGTTGCGCGTCCTCCTGGATGGTTACTTCAAGGTGCTCAACTCGGATCTTCCCGTCGCTTCGCTGGCACCGGAGGCGGCCGGTGGCCTCATCGCTCTGCGCGTCCTCATGCTGGGTAAGGTGGGTGGGGACGTGGGATGGGGACGGGGATGTGGGATGGGTGCTGAACCTTCTCCGCCTCACCCTAGATGCCATCCCAGCCATGCTGAGCTGTGAGGACCGGCCGGTCCTCCAAGCCGTCTTTCTGAGCAACAACTGCTTTGAGCACATCATCCGCCTCCTCCAAAACAGCAAGGTACTGGGGTGGCCACCTTGTCACCCCTTGGTGACACCAGGGTTGGACACCCTCTTCTCCATCTTATCATAGAATCACAGAATGGTTTGGGTGGGAAGGGACCTTAAAGCCCACCCAGTGCCCCCCCCTGCCATGGGCAGGGACACCTCCCACTAGCCCAGGTTGCCCAAAGCCTCATCCAGCCTGGCCTTGAACCCCTCCAGGGATGGGGCACCCTGGGCCAGTTGACCACCCTCACAATCAAGTTCTTCCTCTACACCTCTAATATTTCTTTCCTCTTACTGGGTCGGGTTGACCACAGTGCAGGAGCACCCCTGGGGTGGGGACACCCCATAACCCCCTTCCCTATTCCCCCCACCCTGCACCGGGCGCCGTTCCCTGGGGCTGACGCCCACCCCGTGTCCCACAGCTCTACCTTGGCAGCTCGCGGGAGGCAAGTGATGCCCGGGATGAGGTCCCCGCGCGGCCACCAGATGGGGACAGGCTCCAGCAGGTATCGTGTGGGGTCACCCCATAACCAAACCACCCAGCGTGTGGGTTGTGTCCCTCCTGAACCCTGTGGCTCTGCCACAGTGGACCCACCACCCCCATGTCCCCGTAGGTCTTTGAGGGTGGCTCCGACACCATCGCGGTCCATGCCGTCGGGGTTCTCACTGCCATCATGAGCAACTCGCCATCAGCCAAGGTGGGCAGTGGGTCAGGGTTGGAAGGACACCCCAAAAGTGGATGGTTTGGGGGGGTTTCACGCTGCGAGGTGAAAGCAGCACGTGGTGGGGCTCAGCATGGTGTCCCACGTGCCTTGGTGCTTGCAGGAGGTGTTCAAGGAGCGCATCGGCTATGCCCACCTCTACGAGGTGTTGAGGAGCCAAGGCCAACCCACCCAGCGCCTGCTCCAGGAGCTCCTCAACATGGTGAGCATGCTGCTTCTCCTCCACGCCAAGCAAAGCCTTCGGTGCTGGTGGTTAGTGGTGGATCTCAGCCCCCAGCTGCCCCATTCCTCGCTCCCAAGGGGTCATGGCACCATCTTTAGGCTGGAGTCGTGCTTTGGGGAGATTGGAGACCTTTCTGATGTGGTAGTGCTTGCTCTGGTGCTGCTGGATGTGCCAAGGTCTCCAAGGCACTTGATGCACAGGGGTCTCCAATATGCTTGATGTGTGAGGGGCTTCAAGGCACTTGATGCGTGGTGGTCTCTGAAGTGCTTGAAACACAAAGGTCTCCAAGACCCCTGATGCACAGGGGTTCTCCAAGACCCCTGATACATGGGAGGTCTCCAAGATGCTTGATGCATGGAGGTCTCCAAGATGCTTGATGCACAAGGATCTCCAAAATGCTTGATGCATGGCAGTCTCTAAAATGCTTGAAACACAAGAGTCTCCAAGACCTTGGTGCAAGTTCTCCAAGACTTTTGATGCATGGGGATCTCCAAGACTTTTGGTGCATGGGGGTTCTCCAAGACCCTTGATGCATGGGGGTCTCCAAGGCATTTAATACGTCGTGGTCTCTGAAATGCTTGAAGCACAAGGGTCTCCAAGACCCTTGATGGATGGGGCGTCTCCAAGACCCTTGATGCATGGGAGTATCCAAAACTTTTGATGCAAAGGGGTTCTCTAACATGCTTGATGCATGAGGATCTCTGATATGCTTAATGCACTGGTGTCTCCAAGACACTTGATGCACAGAGTCTCTACCGCCAGCCCGTGGTGACCAGAGGTAGGATCCATCCCTCTCCATGGCATCAGGGCTTCACCAACCAGCTCTTGTGTTTCGACAGGCAGTGGAGGGCGACCACAGCTCCTTCCCGGTGCTCCCCATCCGCAATGAGCAACCCCTGCTCATCCTGCTGGCCTGGCTGCCGGCGCTGCCGTGCCGGGAGCTCCAGGTCTTCCTCTCGGGCTGGTTGCGGCGCCTCTGCGAAGCCTCCTTGCCCAGCCGCCTCACCTGCATCAAGGCGGGCATGGTGGGCTGCCTGCTGGGGGCCCTGGCCACCGAACCAGCGCTACCGGCTGCCTGCTCCGAAAATTTACTGGAGCTGCTGCGGGCGTTGGGCAGCCTCTCCATCCGCCCCGGAGAGCTGCGGCAGCTCCTACGGCTGTTGCGGCATGAACGGGGTCGGGGACCACATCCCTACGTGGCGCCCGTCATCCGGGCGCTCTCGGGGATGGCACGAGTGGAGGGACCCCCCCGGGCGC